ACCTAGTTTACTGATTATTTTAAGTTGAATTCAGTCTCTGCAGCTCAGAATCTTCATCTATCAAATGGAGGAACTAACATAAACAAGTCTTTTCTATCTTCTCCAACTTACAAACTGATAGAAAATTACCAATCTTAAGTAATCCTTTAAAGCAAGGATCAGCAAAATAGGGTCCATGTGCCAAATCTGGTTCATGGCCGTTTTGAGAATAAAGTCTTATTGGAACAATCATTCACTTTTATTCATTAACAATGCCTATGATATGGCTGCTTCTCTGCTACAAAGGCAGAAAAGCAGTAGTAACAGAGACAACAAGGTGTGTAAATACTGATTGGACTTTATAGACAAGTTTGCTGATCCCTGCTTTAGAGAATGAGGTATTTCACTTCAATGCACTTCTGAAGATATAAATTTAAAGTAAATGACTTATGCATTTTTGCACATAAATAATTATATAGTATTCTAACTTCATAGTTCTGCCTATCAGCCCTGGTGACTGATGGAATGGAGTAAATTAGCAGATATGAGTTTGAACCCTGGCTCCATTCTTGGCAAATTCAAATTAGGATGATGCTCTCTCTCTCACAATTTTAAAGACTAAGATTATTGTCTTAATATAAAAAAATTTCCTGTTCAAGTTATACTCCATTTATGTATGATGTGTCAAAATGCATCCTATTGTCAAGTATAGCTAATTAGAACAAATAAAAATTTTAAAAATGCCAAAAAATTCCCTGTTCAAACATTATACTTTATATAAAACAAAGTAAAAGTCCTCAAGATATTTAATCTAAAATGGATATCATGGATCTAATATAAGCAGAAAACAAGGAGGCATCTATACCTCATTATTATATATTGATCCAAATGTTTTTGTCTGATTAAGTCAAAGAGCTTACTTTTTAACACTACCTTGCTTGCCTTTATTCAGATGAAAATTTTAGAAGGGATTTTTGAAAGATTTAAAGGATGAGGCATAATTAACTGGATGGAACTAACAAAGTAAAATATATATGTAAGAAAAACTGGACACGGGATAAAGGGGTGAGGATAAGGAGTATATAAAAAATATATAGGAGAAGCTCTTTTCAGAAAAGACAAAAACTCACTAATAATTCATTTCTCAAAACCACAAGTCATTCAGGTAAAAACATCTTAGAACATAGTGTACTCCATCAGAATATATGCCTTCTGTTATGGCTCTGCACAAACATCTGACTGCTCATGACACCAAGTTAGATCATGTTAATAAAAACTTACCAAAAGAGACATTGAATCGCTTTAGTTCACAGAAAATGACAAAAATCCATCTATTTCAAAGAAGAGTTTTGATTTATCTTCCTTTCGAGATGCAGAAATATCCTACTAAAAAAAAACACAAAAGCCAAATAATTTAGATTTATATATAAAAGTTCCTTGAAAAACTAGTTGTCATAAACTCCTTCAATATGTAGGCAGCTATTCCTTGACACAGACTAGAGACATTACTGACAAATATCTTTAAAGAGCATTTCCTTTTACTGAACACTATTTGGGATCACCACAGAAAGGTAGAGTGAAGTTGAAGGGAGGTTCTGAATATTTCTGAAACTTCGGTATATTCAGTATATTTGCATCTCTCCTACCTTCTCTGTACTGGTTTTTGAAAGAATCCAGGGCAAACATGAAAGCAATGTGGAAATGCAATTTTGGATTCACTTTACAATTTTGGACTCAATATACATGGGCCCATTTACAATAAACTCCAAGAATTTCCAATATTTTTATTTATTAGCAAACTTTGAGACTTTCCAAAACTTTCTGATTGGATTAACCTATTAAATCATATAGGGTCCCTGATTACCAAATCTGGGAAAGAATTAGAATTAGTAACAGATGAAGAAACAATGTTTTCTTGTTACTATGTTTAAAAAAAGGAGAAAGGCATTTTTTTGTTGTTTTTATGTAATGACATTTTTTGTAAGAAATTGTTTTACCTTATAATTTTTAGTTCTTAATTCCACTCTTAAAATTTGTTGATATTAAATATATATATATTATTATGCAAATATTCCTATACATTTTCACTAATAAAATATTAATCTCAATACTCTGTGCAATTCTGCAACAGATGAGAAATTTTTTTTCTTTTTATCTTTTTTGGGGGGCTAGGGGGTACTAGGGATTGAACTCAGGAGCACTTGGCCACTGAGCCACATCCCCGGCCCTATATTTTGTGTTTTATTTAGAGACAGGGTCTCACTGAGCTTAGAGCCTCGCTCTTGCAGAGGCTGGCTCTAAACTTGCGATCTTCTTGTCTTAGCATCCCGGGGCCACTGGGATCACAGGCATGCACCACTGTGCCTGGCAACAGATGAGAATTTTTACTTGGTAACATCTTTGGATTCAGGGAGATACAAAAACACCAGACTTCTACCAATAAAAAAGGGAGCCATGTTCTAAGCTTGCTAGCACTTGGTGCTCCCTTATTTCTAAACAATGTCATTTCTTTCATTTAAATTGTACTCAAGTCCACAAATTTCACGAAGGCATCTACAAATATCTGAGCAAAATGAGAAAAGTAAGAGTTTATAGACCATAAATATTATAGAGCAGTATCCAATTTTATTGATAAAGGAAGAAGTGAATTTACTCAGGATGTTCACTATTAACCAAAAGCAAAGAAAAGGAGGAAGAAGAACCTGAAAGATGATGATTATTTCATTGCCAGCCAGGCATTACTATCAATTAAGGCACTAGAGTTTCCTGTACTACAAAAGGGGAAAAGCAATGCCTGTCCTCCCTACCCTCCAGGATGACTGAGATCAAATGGGATACTTCATCTGCAAGTGCTCATAACTACCAAACACTGTACACAAGATAGAGCTGATGCTCTGAAAGATGCAATGATGGCAGTACAAAATGCTAAGGCTTATTTGGAAAGCAAGTTGACAATGGTTTGATAACCATGAAAATATTCATACTTTGTGACCCAGTAAAATTCCCACTTCTAATAATCTGTTCCAAGGAGACACTCAAGTAAATTAATCAAACATACAAAGTCAATGCACTGTTGCTGGTAACAGCTAAGTATTCATTCCACACATGTATAATGGGTCAGGCACTGTGTGGGACACTGGGGACATCCAGGGTTAATCAAGACAGACAAGGACCTGACTACTTGGAGTAGTTTTTTCCCATTAACAGAAAGTTTAGGGATATCATGATGAATTGAATTTTCTGGATACCATGATTTTGAATCCTGTTTTTTTCACTTAATAGCTGCCAAGTTGTTACTGATTTTGTTGTCTTAAACAGTTTGAAAGTCCATGACATCATTTATTTTTCAGAAAAATCCACAAGAAAATCTGTGAGAATTGTTAGTTCTAAAAGGATTGTCCCTGTGGGGTGGTTTAATCCTACAGGCTTTGCCTTAGATACACCAGACTATTAAGAGATAATTTTACAAGACATTTTGAGGTCAGGGCAGCAGCTGCACCTGGCAAAGGAGTGGGGCAAAAGATTTGCTGTCAATTTTATTGGGCATGCTCTTTCACTAGTTATGAATATAAATCCTTTTTTTAAAACTCATACTTAAAAGACATATTTATGAAGGTTTTCATGACCATTTCAGTACAGCCCCTTGCACATGAATCTAGAAGCTAATTACAATAAAGCTTTATAAATAATATGTTCCATAACTGGTTCATCCTAAGGCTTTAATCTGAAAGTTGAACACTTTTAGTGGAAACAAAGGGCAAATCTATTTACAGAACTCGGGTTCTGAGTTAATTTAGGCATCCAATGCAATGAGGCAACACCATAGGGAATACAAACAAAACAGAAAGAAAAAAAAACAGCTTTAACTCTTTGTTGAGCTTCGAAAATACTTTAATTTTCAAAGTGATCTTGGGAACTCATAAAAACATAGATTAGAGCGACGCACAGCTCGGTAGAATTTTCCAAACTTAGTATCATGACTCATGCTTACACCAAGTGTTTACTGAGTGCCTACTGTGTGCCAGGCTCCGTGCTAGGTAGGCGCCCTGTGTCATATCCTGACCAAGTTTTGAGGAAATAGGTATTGACACAACAAACCTACGAGGAGAAAACAACGCTAAACTTAAATGCTGAGGACAAAGCGACCCCAGAGCATTTAATTTTGTTAAAAAGTTTCCTTCCTAGACCTGCAGACAGATCGAGCCAGGGCCAGTGTCTTCGGTTTGGAAATTCGCCAGACCCGTGAGCGCGGCTAAAGGTGAGAGCTGGGGGAGACGAACCACTGGTGGCTCCTGCCTGCGTACCTGGCGCTGTCAACCCGCACTCAGGAGCCTGGACCACCGCACGCGCTGGAACTCGCGGCCCAGGGATTCCCGCAGAGCCGCTGCCGCGCGGGCTCAGGGGCCGCTCGCTGAGCCACACTCCGCCCGGGTTCCAAGTGGGCGGCCGGTTCTAGCCCCTGGCTTCCCGGGGCGTGAGTGGACCCAGCCGCACTCCCTCTCCTCACCCACAGACCCCAAGTCATTCCCCTCCCCCTTATTACCTAGCGGCGACCACGGCCAGTGACTCTTCAGGTTGCCTGCTGTGCGGGGCCAAGGCGGGCCGGAGCCCCAGAATCCGGGAGCCCAGCTCGCAGAGGGGCGAAGGGAGAGCGCTAGGCCCGCTCCCAGCGCGGGCCAAAGAGCACAGAGTGCGGCACGACGGCGACAGGAGACCGTCAGCCTGGAACTCTGTCCCAGAGCCAGGCAACCGGCCCGGACAGGATCCGCCCCACCCCTGCCCAGGTCCCGGTCCGGCCCGCCGCCCCGCCTCTCGCCCCTGGGCCCGGCGACAAGGGGGTGGTGGGCGGGGCCTCCGCGCAGGGGGCGGGGCGAACAGGAAACTACAGTTCCCAGTAGGTCGTGCGTTGGGGCTGTGGGGGCTGCTGGGAGAGTGGGTCTCCTTGGAGCTTCCCCTGTTGTGCGGGGGCTGTCATTGACCCAGCGTCACTGCAGAATCGAGGTCGCCGAGTGATGATGTGAAGTCGCCCGCCCTTCCCTGCCACGCCCGAGTGGTTACTGGCTGCGGCGGCAGCTTGGGCTGCTGCTCTCAGGCTGCCGCCGCTTCTGGGGCTTATTCCTGAGGTATTGGGGGCGGAGGACGGCAGACGCCGGGCCATTCCAGTGAGTAACCTTCCCGCGCGCGACTCGAATTTGCCCTTGCCAACTTCGCCGGAAGGCGGAGGAGCCACCCCGCCCCGCGCCCCTTCAGTTCTCGGAGGTCGCGCGCGGACACCGGGTTCCGAGGCTGGGTACCGGGAGTCCTGGGTGCACGCCGGGTCCTTCCCCCGAGGTGGGAAGGAGACTGTTTCCGAAGTGTAGGTGCGAAGTGATGGTGGCTCTGGCCTCGGGATTTACCCCAGCTGCCGCTCTGAGGATTGGCAGCCTCTTATCCTCTGCCGGACAGCATCCATCTGGAGCCCTGTCTTTTAGGATGAGTGGCTTTAGTGTCTGGACATTAAACCTTAAGCCTCGGTGGCCATCTGTGATGCAAACGGGAGGAGAGGATATTGGAAAGAGCACTTTCTGAGTTGTGTTGGGCTTTTCTTTGCAATTGATTTGAAGCCAGACGCCACATTAAAAAGAAATGGTTGGCTATAATTTTAAGCGTGAATAATGGATATTGGCATTGTCCTTTTTAGTACCAGCATAAAAATAATCTAAACAGTTAAAAAATTGTCATGGCAGTAGTTACATGCTCATACAGCTTTTACTTTCATCTACTGTTTCTTTGCTGGCAAAATAGTGACTTTTCATTGGAAATTCATCAAGCTGAAATGGACCATAAGAACAAAGTGAAACAGACTCTTCCAGTTCTAGAGCTCTCTAAGTAAATTTTTTCATGACCTTCAAATCTTTGCTGTTGCCTTGTAAGTCTGAGCTACAGTTATCTCCAAATTGCATGGTAATGGTGGTGAAGGGCACTTAACAAATGGTGAAGGGCATTTGGTGGTGAGGAAGGGCAGAGATGAAGACACTATCATAGCAACAGTTATTCCAGTTTTCTATTTTTAAAATTAAGTAATGCCCAACAAGTCTCAGACATTTAGCAGGCACATAGTATGTGAAAGAATGTTTTATAAATCTTACAAATTTTGTTCATATGATGGAAGAGGTAGGAAAGAGTCAGTATTTGAGTACTTGTAATCTGCCAGGCACACCAGTTAGGGTTAGGCTAACTTAATCACTTAACAAACCTGTTGCAGTAATCAGGCTTTGTTTATGTAACAACTAGAGATTTAAATCTAGATCTGCTTTGTTTCAAAGTTATAGATCAGGTAACTTACCTAGTTCAGAAATTACAGATCTTAAAGACTGGCTAAAAAGGAGTTTGGGGTATTATTTCCTAATACTGGTTTCAACACATCTGGCCCTTGCTTTGGTACTTGTGAACAAATTTTTTCCTTTGCCTACAATTTCCATCCCTCCCATTAAGACCCTAAAAACTCATTCCAAATATACTTCAATCTATTTTTGTGAGAAATTATAGAATTGGACTTTTATCTCAAAGGTCCTTTCCAGTTCATTGGTTTTATGGTTCTACAGTTCAGATTATAAGCCAAGAAGTGTTATTCTCCACTGTGAATGATTAACATATGTAGTCACAAATAGTAGAAAAATTTTTATTTCAATGCCCCAAATATGTTAAATACCTATATAAGGAATGAGGCAGATGATAGTGTGTTATTTCATGTTCATTTTGAATTTTTTTGTTGTTTTTTTAAACATCATCAGCACTGACTTTTGATCCTCTTTAGTTTGTCCTATTTGGTTGAAAAGAAACCTGAGGCATTAAGGTAATGGTCACATTTAAATGAGTTAGTCATGAAAGGAGCTAAATTATTCATGGTTTTCTGTCATTTCTGTTCAGACCTGAAGTGTTCTTATAATAATAATAGGAAACATTTGTAGACTTACTATGTGATATGTACTAAAAGTCTTACCTACATCAACTTATCCTCATGTTAGCACCATGAAATTTTTTTTTTTTTTTTTTTTTATAGACAGGCAACTAAAGCAAAGGGAATAGTAACATACCCAAGGTAATTTACTGAGTGGTAAAACTGGGTGTCAAACCAGACAAGATCAAATCTTTAATATTCGAGTATCTATTACCAACCTAATAATGGTATTTTTATTGTGATTAAATCATATATTTGTGCAGCTACCTTTTTAGAATGCAAATTCAGCATTAAATGATTTTGTTACAAAGTAAATGAACAGAGCTAGGATTTGAACCCATGCTTCCCTTACTTCAAGGTCCATGTTCTTTTCCTCTCCTTCCTGTTAATCAAATCTTTATTAAATTCTTTCTGTGGTTCACTGTCCTAGATGCTAGGACATAGTCTTTGTTGTTAAGGTATACAATCTGAAGAGGGAGACACAATTAAGATAATGTGTTGAGAAGTGTACAGAGGTCCTACAGGAACACAAAGAAAGAGCACTGAAATCAGCCTGGAGTGAGAAGGCTTGGGCCAATCCTGAGAAAACAAATTAAAATTAGCCTTGGCAAAGAAAGGGGGTAAGTTTTATTTGAGCTAAACTGTGTCATTCCAAAATTTTCATGTTGAAGCCCTAAGCCTCATAACCTCAAAATAAAACACTTTTGGGATAGGGCTTTTGAAGTGATTGAATTAAATGAAGGCCTTTTAGGGTGGCCTCTAATTCATTCTGACAGGTGTCCTTATAAGAGGTAGAAATTTGGACACAAAAATTTACCAGAGATGCGCCTGCACCGAGGAAAAGACCCTGTGAGGATATGTCAAGAAGACCAAGGAAACAGGCCTCAGGCTAACACACTAACCTTGGACTCTACCCTCCAGAATTGTAGGAAAATAAAGTTCTGTTGTTTAAGCCTCTCAGTCTGTGGTATTTTGTTTTGACATCCCCAGCAATCGAACAAACAGCTATATTCTAGTCAAAAGGAATGACATATAAAAAGCCTTTTAGGTGTGGCCAGGTGATTTAGGTTTCATGGTGAGAAGTTTTGAGAGATGAAGCTGGAGACTAGGCTGGCCAGGTTAGGAAGATTTTGTTTGAGAACCTGAGGGGTTTAAACTTTATACTAAAGGAGATGGAATGGTGGAGGGATTTTTAGCAATGGAAAAACAAATTTGCATTTTAGAAACAATATTCTGAGCCTTGGGGGTGGGATAATATAAAAGGGATAAGATTGGAGGCAGGGAGACACAAATTAGTGGCTATTGCCATAGGAAGCTGAACTAAAGATTTTCTTAGACTATTGAGATGTCAAACTAAAACACAACCATTGTTGATATAAGGAAGACTATAACAGGAGTAGTAGCTAACCTTAGGGCATACATAAGAAGATTTAGAAAGAATTTGTATATAGCTCATTGTACTTAGACACTGGCTTTGTTTTGACCTTTTGCTTTCCTTATATGGGTCATAAAGCTTTATATAACTATAGTTGTATTTTTCCACTATGAACAATGATTTTATGTATTTAATAGACATTTATGATGCTTACACCATTTAAGCCCAATCCTCTGAGAGACTTATAAACTACCTACTGTTATCTCCATTTTATACATAAATATATAGTAACATAAAGAGGCTATGAAACTTGCTTAAATTCATGTTAGCTAATATACAGCAAAGACTCAACTCAAGCAGTCTATCTTCTGAGTCTTAGCCTTTCACTACTTGAGAATCAGGGAGGAATACAAATATAAATTGAGTATGTTTGGTGTCTGGGATAGACAGTTTGTAAGTGAAAATGATAAAGAGATGATTTAAAAGTATTTTATAGAAAAGTAGAGTGATAGAAAAATTACTTATTTTGAATTGGGCTTCCAGAAAGACTTGGTAGAAAAAGTGGCATTTGAGCTGCTGTGTGAAGAATAGTTAGAATTTGGATCTGCAGAATTGGGAGAGAACATCAGAGATAGACAAAATTGCATGAACAAAATTACAGAATTGGGAACTTGCTGGTGTGTCTAGGGACCTAGTAAATGCAGTCCTTTGTTTTGGCTGGAATATATTGTGTGGTTGGGGAAGGAAGTTGGAGAAGCCAGTTTGTGGGGTGGGGAACAAAACTCTGGAGAAGAGAACTTTCAAGTGTGAGATGCAAGGAAATTGAAGGTTCAAGCCTGAATAACTGAAGTGTATGCCAGATGTGGTTATCACTGAAGACAGAAAAATCATCAAATCCCAAATCATTAGTTGATAAGTTCTATTTTCACTATTTCACAAGTCCTTCTCTCTTACTGTTGCCATTCATCTGTTTTATGACTTTATGAAAGTAATCTATATATAATGTGATAAAATGTCCTAATTATTTTTCTGTCTCCATTCTGTCTATTCCTGAAATTTATCACCATTCTGCCTCTGGATTTATTTTCCTCAATGTCACTTTCCATTTAGAAATTTGTTTCCTACAGTATTAAGTTCAGACTTCTTATGTTAAACTAGTCAGATTTAAATCTCCAAATACCTTACCCATAATCCTTACCACTCAGATTGGTCTTTATACTGCTACCTTGCTTTTGGATCTCTTTTTGGAGGCTTGTGTGTGTGCTTTTTTAAAATTACATTATTCTAACAGATATACTCCATTTTCATCAAAGTCTTTTCATCCTTAAGAAACCCATAAAAATTTTACATCCTATGTGAAGCCAGAAAAAGGTTCTCCCCACAACACTATCTATGGAACTGTCAGGTTGTAATACCCATTAAATATTTGTTAACTAGTGGTGTTATCTTATTTTCTTAGGTTTCTTAGATATTATGTCTAATCTAGATCATAGAGTGCTTTCCCCATAAATACTAGATTTCTTAAATCTTTAACCTTCTTTTGCACGGAGGCTGTATATCTCTTTTTAGTACTTTTCAGTTTAATTCACATGGTATTTATTGAAAGCTGTTCAATAAAAAGCTGACTGACTAGTGTTTGATTGAGATTATTTTATGGTATTTATTTTAGAACTGACTGCTTCGTATGTAATGTTCTGACTTTATTCCTAGCTTTACCACTGACTAATATAACCTTGAAGACATTCTGTTTAGCCCTGTATTTATGTTAGAAAATGAGCATACAGAAATTGCCAGAGGTATAGAGGTAGAACTAATTCACTTTATAATGATTGTTGAGATTTTTGAAGTTTATCTATATTTTTCTGCCAGTGTTTGCCAAACTTTGAGTTCTTACTCTTTAGAAAGCTTTTTGAAATCATAGAAGGTAAAGGAGTAGTTAAAATAGGGCCTAAATTAAGAATGTTATATTATTTTTTGTAACAGTGGAGTTGATGAATTATACTTGGTGAAAGTATTCATTCATCCACCAATTTAGTTAGTAATTCATTTCAGCAAGTATTTATTGAGTTACTTGATCTCCTGCCATTGTATTTGTGTTCTGATCAGTAAGGAGAAGGAAAGGGAGGAGATGGAATCTTCTCTTTTCTTGCAAGAGGACTTCCAGGAAATAAATTATAGTACTATGAAAGATGCAAATGAGATGCTTTGTTATAGAACAAAGGTGGGCAGGGAAGGCCACTTCAGATCAGGTGAACTGGTAACTTCTCTCCAAGCATGACTTTTAAGCTGAGACCTGAAGGATGAAAAGTAGTTATCATATAAAGAACAAGAAAGAAGAGTATTCTAAGTATGATAAATGACAGTTACAGAGGCCCATAGGTAAAAGAGAACAGGAGAAGGAAGTGAAAAGAAGTGACAAAAGGCATTTATCTCAGTGGCTTAGTATGACCAGGAGGAGAGTGGTGCAAGAAGGTGAGGGAGGAGGAATGGGCAGGGACCAGGCTGGGCCAGACCTTATAAGACTGTGACTAGAGGTGTGACACTTATTGTAGGTATTATGCCACCTTTTTTTTTTTTTTTTTAAGAAGGAGTTTAGTTTTTAAAACATGATTCTTGCTGCCTTATAGAGAAGGAAGAGGAGCAAGAAATTTAAGCATGAAGTCCTGTTACAAGGTTGGTTTGTAAACTAAGGGATGATAGTGGCTTGAACTCTGATGGTGGTAGAGAAGACAGAAGAGTGGGTAGATTTGAGGTGTATATTGGTAGTTGACTGTACAGGATTTATTAATGGATTGGCTGTGGTGGGGTGAGAGAGGAAGGAATCTAGCATTCAGTGTATTCTAAATAACCTGTGGGATATTTGAGGGGAGCTCAGGAAGCAGTCTGAAGAGCCAATTTGAGAGTTATTAACTGAAGTTGCAGTGTAATCTGGGGTGGTAGTTGGCTGGCACAACAGTAAATGAAAAAAAAAATTAAAACCAAATCCAACAGCAACAAGAACAAAAAACATAGTCACTATCGGAACTGTGGAAAGTATAAAATTTAAGGATCAAGAGGAGAGGGTTGGATGACCCAGCGAGGGATCTGAGAACAAGCCTGGGAAGATGTAGGTTCCAGGGGAACCATGGAAGGAAACTTAAGTAGAGAGTCATCAATCAACACTGAACCAGAAATGAGTTACCCATTGGCAAAGTAGGGTTAGATTGGTTGGCAGGGACTCTCGGTAGAGGAAGAGAGAATGATTTCCGAAGTATCAGGTTATGGTGGAAATGATGTGTATGAAGAGAGATGGGGTGGAAAAAATAAAACACTCTTTGGAGAAGCTGTGCAAGCATCTCCTGAGAGGAAGTTGCTAGAGGGGAACCTATAGTCTTGGGAAAGGGAGACTTTTGTAACTTTATCTGTTTTTAGTAAAGGGGAAGATTTTGAGCATGTTAATAAGCTAAGGAAGATGGTGAAGCTAGTGGAGGACAAGGATAGCCAGTGGAGCAAGGTTTAGATAAGGCAGGAGTTATGTAAATAACATGGAACTCATGTTTAGTGTTTTTTTTTAAACTGGATATGAATATATACACGGTCAAAAAATTGCAAAAACATGATGAAAAGTCAGTTTCTCTCCTCTTTTTGTCTTCTAAGCACCTACTTCACACCCCCATCAACAAGTGTGCAAGAGCATGATTGAAATTATGCTTACACTTAATGCTCAGTATTTAGAGAGAATGTTAGCTGTAAATTTTGTGAATTTACTGGAGGAATGAGAGAAATGGAGAACAGAGAGGGGGGTCAGAGAAGAGTAAGAGAGATGTGGTATGGGATTATGTCAGAAGAAAAAGGGCATTTAAGAGAATCATGGAGTACATGCCTGTGGTGGGAGGCCTGTGGTTGGTGACTGTTTTCAGGAGCTTCATTCCATGTGGTTTTGTGACCCTTCAGGAGAATTAACTGTTCCTTTATAATTAAAATGCAAGTGAACTTAGAAAACGAACTGCTTAAAAATTTATCTCTTATATCAAGTAAATAATGTTTGGAATCCAAGTGGCAGAGCTCTGCTCTCTGCTCTTACTACTTTCTGTCATAGGCATGTCATGTATAGTGCTGGAGTTCCTCAGGCCAGTGTTATAAATCAAAACAAAGGGAAGTTTGTTGGTTAAGAAAGAGCACTCTGTCTGGAGGAAGGGAGGAGGAGGAGCCTAGAAACCAATACAAATGTCTCTGAGATGGGCTACTGTTCCTAAAGCATATAATTTAACAACTTTAAAAAAAAAAAATCTTTTCAACCCTTCTCATCTTTCTCAGCTAGCATTAGGCCAAACCTCTGAATTTGCTTTTATTTTCTTTTTAGTCATGAAATTCAAAGACTACAAATGAGGCTTATTTTAGCAGTTGTGAATTTTTAAAAGAAGATATTGAATCATTTCTCATTTGATGCAGGGCTTATTTTAAATGTGTTTATAATCAGCTGCAGATGCTTAGTAGATAGCATAAAAAAACTAATCAAAGCCAAAGAAAGTTTCAATTCTTTTAGCTATTTTAGAAAAGTGGTACTGTGTCGTTACTATAAAAATGATAGTTCACTCTAACACAACTCTTTTATAAAGAGTTTTTCATAAAACAAATAACAGTGTTTTCTTCAAAATGTTCAATCTTAGCTGGATTTTGTTTTTCGAGGCAACTTATTTAGTTGATGTTGGATTGAAAATCTATTTAAACATCTAAATGTTATTAAATGTTGACATTTTAATCTGTAAGCTTAATGCATTACGAGTATTACAATCTTTCATGTGTCAGTTGCTGTTAGATTTCAGACACATAAAAGATATCTTCCTTCAAGGAGCTCAGAGTGTAATGAGGGAGAAATGACAAGGGAGCACATTGTCCTCTGGGATAATCCAAGAAACGGCTTCATTAAACACTGATAAAGAACAAAATCACAGTGAGAAATTTAAAGATTTCCCAAACCTTTTTTTCCATGTTTGTAATGCACTCTGTATTTCCTTGTATCAACAGTAAAATTCTCACAAAAGAAGAGGAGGACCTGTGCTTTTCTTGGGAGGCAGTAAAGAAAGAACAGTGTGTATTCAGAGCCAGCCTAGGAAACAGAACACAGGTGAGAAAAACAGTTGACAATAGTGTGAAAGGAAGAAAAGAATGCCAGCTAAATCCCTGGTGCTGAAGGGGTGAAAGACAGAGGTTCTTGGGAAACCAGCCAGGAATAGAAAAACAGGTCCTCCGGTTCAGCCTCAAGCAGACACCTTATGGGTTCTCTGATAACCTGGTTATCTGGTTTCTTAGCCCAACATCAGGTTAGAAAGGGGAGAAGCACACTGGCAACACTGAAGTGTAATGCCTGATAGCCTCCTCACAGGAAAAGGAAACAAAATTAGAAGTGGATGTACAATCTAAAAAGAAAAAATATTAATTTGCGATCATTTAATATATAGAAAAAGAACACTAAAAGCTTATAATCCTGGAGGATATCAGCATTATTGCTGTAAATGCTATTCATGATAATGACTGTGAGTCATCTGGTTATTTTCAGTCTTTTTTATACAAAGACATATCTTTTTCCTGCTATAGCAGTTTATTGGACTTTTCCTCATTATCATGTCTTAACAGTAGATAGAAAACATTTTACCATCAATGTTTTTAAAATAAGAAGACTACCACCATTTGACCCAGCTACCCCACTCTTGATCTATACCCAAAGGACTTAAAATCAGCATACTATACTGATATAGCCATACCAATGTTTAAAGCAGCTGAATTCACAATAGCTAAACTGTGGAACCAACCTAGATATCCATCAATAGATGAATGGATAAAGAAACTGTGGTATAGGTACACAATGGAATATTATTCAGCATTAAAAGAGAATAAAATAATGGCATTTGCAGATAAATGGATGCAGTTGGAGAATATTATGCTAAGTGATATAAGCTAATCCCAAAAAACTAAAGGCCTAATGTTTTCTCTGATTAGTGGATGCTGATCTTGATGGAGGAGGGGGGATGGGAAGAATGGAGGAACTTTGAATTGGTAAAAGGGAAGGTGGAGATGGGTTATAGGGGTAGGAAAGACGGCAGAATGAGATGGACATTATTACCCTAGGTACATGTATGATTGCACGAATGGTGCGTCTCAAAACTGTGTACAACCAGAGAATTGAAATGTTGCGTTCCATTTGTGTATGATGAATTGAAATCCATTCTGCTGTCATGCACAAGTAAGTGGAACAAATTTTTAAAAAGATAAATGCAGGTGATTGCAGGCGGCTTGCTAGCCAGGCTCCCCAGCAGCCCTTCAGCAGAAATAAAGGTTGGTTCTGCCCACCCAATTTCAAGCACATGTTTGATTTCTTGTGGCACCTCATTATTTCTAACATGATGAATTCTCAGGTGAACTTTTCTCATTACTAAACATCTATTTGAATTTGAAAATATTTATGTTTTATTAAGGCATGTAATAAACTATTCTTTGAAACCTATTGAATAGAATAAAATTTAAAGCCATATTGTAAAAGATGGCATACTGATTGCAAAATAAATAAAAATAACATCATTTAAAGAAAAATAAGATATGGAAAGCCAAAAATATATGTATATATTGAAGGTTTGTGGTGTTTATCACAATGCTGTTAATTCCATCTCCAGGGTATGTTTGCAACTATAGTGTAAATGATGGGCTTTATTGATATACCCCTGCACATACGCATACAACTATTACTCAAGCCCATAAGAGGCCTAGTAGATTTTTGTAGATAGGGCTAAGAAAACATCAATTTTCAAATGCTCTTAATTCTCATGTTTCTCATGTAGTTTAATTTTTGTCCTATTGTAGACTGCAAGGATACAACTAAACTATAGCCTATTCATTTATTTAATCTATTTTAAACTATTTTTTAGTTGTAGATGGACATAATATCTTTATTTTTTTTACTTATTCATTTTCATGTGGTGCTGAGATTGAACCCAGTACCTCATTTGTGCAAGGCAAGCGCTCTACCACTGAGCTACAACCCCAACCCCTAACATATTTATTGAATGCCTGTCATTTACAAGATAGTACTATGTAAGTAGACTGAATTTACTGGAATAAGGATTTATTTTGATCAGTATTCTGCTTATTACTGTTAACAGCTCAAAACAAGTAACAGAATTATTTCTTATTTACAATAATGATCTGTATTTTTGTTGTAGTTGTTGTTGTAGAATAACCATTTAAAGGCAGAATTGAATTTAGATTTGGGACTGTCTTTTTAAAGAGGCAAATCATGTATTTAAAAGCACAGATCACTTCTGCTTCGAAGTAAATTTACTCAATTTTGGGACCAGATAACTCATTTTTAAGAGCAAATGTAAACTACTTGACAGAGTTTATTTCCCCCTTATTTATTTCTTCTTTCTTCAGTAATCAGTATGTGTTTTAAAAAATTGGAATGGAGAAATAGGATTGTATTGGAATTATCTGAGGCTTTTTTCAAACTACATATACATTTCTTGTCCTCCACACTTCTAGTCTTGTACACCTTAGAGGTTAGAGGTCCCCAGCTTTAGAGAAACAGTTGGACATTATTCCTAGTTTTTAAGCAAGGTAATGAAAGAGAATTATGGGCAAAAAGCATTTAATGTGATACTAGGCACACAGTAAATGCTCTGTCAGTGTTAGCTATTATTAATAGAAAAGACTAAAATCGCATCAGAAATGCAAATATATTTAACATTTTCATTTGAAACTCAGAAAGCTCTTATGCTCATATTATAAATTGTTTACTATTTATTATAAGCTGATTTTAGAAAACTTCTGCAGTATAATTTCATTTGGTATATTCTTTAATAAAGTCATGCTTTATCTAAAAGCGGTTATTGTCAAAGAGCTAGTTCCTGCTCAGGAAAACTCTCATGGTGCAGTGTTATCTCCTCCTCAGTTGTGCAGGTCTAGTAACTGAAGTTTTCTCAGTATACTCAAAGTTGAAGAGGCCTGGAGGTATGTCACAATAAACAAACTCACTAACAAATGGTAATTAAGCCAGAATATCTGATCTTAATATATAATGTAATTGTTGAATGAATTGTGTATTTTGTCTCCCATAGAGTTAGTACATTTTTCCCTTATAGGAAAATCTGCACCAGAAACCCAAGTTGCCAGAAATTTAGAGGCGAAAGACACTGGAATTATAGGAACAGCATACTGAAAGAATGGGGGTAGCAATTTGTATTCCAAGAGCTATGCTAGCTTAGAGTAAGAAAGCCAGACCAGGTCAGAAGCTCTTGTAGTACCCAAGGATAGAGAAAGGTTTAAAGTAAGACCAGCACAGTAGCCTTGGAAAATAAATCCACAGGAACCAGTGAAAAGCAGGGGTTGAGGAAAGAAAGGATGACTTATTATCAACTTACCAGTGAAGCAGGAAAAAACAAATTTCATGTGAGAAGGAATTCAGTTTAGAATGTAGGGAATTTATGGTACCAATTATAAATTGATATTGAGATTTCCAATTTAAAGTCATGAAATGCCAGTTGGAACTAAAGAGAAAACTTGAGGAGTGACTCATACAGTGGGAAATTAAGACCTTTGAAGTAGAAGGATTCCTGAGGAGAAAAAAAGAGAGAGTCCATGAGAAAATGCTGAAGAACTGGTGAATACTAGCCATTAAAGGCAGGTCAAAGAAGAGAATTCCTGAATTTCCTCAGCTACCTACTAACTATATCTTCAAGCTCAGAATCTCATGGTCTCCTGAGGTGCAGATAGCCAACAGCTATCCAAAACATTATCTGTTTTTATTTGTTTCCAAAATTTCATTGGCAAATCAGAATCATCCAACACATGTCAATTCTCATTCAAAAGTAACTTTATCTTGAAATCCTGGAGATGATTGTGACAACTGGTTTTGAAAAACAAGTATTATGTCTAAACGTAATATAATTAGAAAGTCTCTTGCCTAGGAGATTACATTATTAAAGTAGTTACATGACAGACAAGCAGATAATTGGAGAATAGTTCTTAAATTACATGTGTTTATAAATATGTTTGTAATAACTATTCTTCCATCCTGAACATCACTCACCCCCATTTTTAAGTTACACCCTGTTCCTGGTCATATAAGATTGCATGTCCTAGTGTCAGTGATAATGTTTACTTGTAGAGCAATATTGCCTACAGTTTTGCTTTTGGCATCTGTCACATGGGACCTTCTCCTTTTAAAGGCTTTAAGTACAATAATTTTTAAATAACTGAAGACTTTAAGATCATTTTAAGCAACCCAAAGCAATTTACATTTTATTGTTGGGATATGATCAAATTATATGCATGTATGAAAATATTACAAAGCCATTATTTTATATAATTAGTATATGCTAATAGATATAATAAAAACCACGATTTTTTCCTGGTGTTCTTTTAAAAACGTGTATATTTCTTACTGTTACGTGAAAGCTCCATTTCAAGGGACCTTCTTAGCTGTTTTATTTGACACTAAGTCCTGAAGAACAGATTATAAAGTAATACTCTTAAGTCTGACAGCATAATTATATCTATTGTTCAGTCCATTTCTTAATCTTCCATAAAGTGTTTCTAGATTTTCCAGTTGATAGTGTCTTTTGATTTAATCTACTAACTAAATTTTGCTAGTCAGCATTGAGAGAAAATACTTTCTGACTTGCTGGAGAAGGATTTATTTGGTTCCAGAAGTATAGAACATATTTTAATAACCCCAGAATCAATTGTATAAAATGCTTCTGCTTGAGGTATTTTTTCCAATTTGCAGGGTGGTGGGGAGGAGAACAGGAAACCCACAAACTCTGTAGTGCCCTTTACTCTGCTTTACTCATTTTTTGAAGATCTCTATTCGTCTTTTCCTTTCTTCAACCATTACTTTTATCAAAGGATCTTATTTTCTATGTTTAAGAAAAAGATGAAGCCAAGGGTACGCACTTAGACCCAGCTACTCTGGAGTCTGAGACAGAATATTCACTTGAGCCCAGGAATTCAAGGGCAACCTGGGCAACATAGTGAGACCCTACCTCAATAATAACAAGAAAAGATTTAAAAATAAAATAACATCATTTTATTAATATCCTGGATCTTAATTCTTGGTAGCAGCTGCCCTTATAA